CACACACACACACACACACACACACACACACACACACACACACACACACCATGGAAAAAATTTTCTCTTAAAATTTCCTGAAGATATGGTAGTTACAGTACAATATATTTCAAAAATTTTTACCATTGAATTTCAGTAAAATTAATCAAATTTATTTTACATTTTATTGTACTTTTATTAGTAAATGCGAGAGATTTTTATAAAATTCTTCGAAATACAAGGTCCCACGATTATCATATTTTCAGGATAAATTTTAAGAGAAAATTTTTATTGTGTATATATGATAAATTTATAGATGAAAAAATGATAAATTAAGATGTAAAAAATTTTGATGAAACATTAATTTTTATCGACATTAACGTTGGCAAAACGACAAACACATTAATAAAATGATATCCTCTTCCTTACAAACATAACATTTTTACAAATGTTTGTGTATCGATAAAAAATCAGGAAATGATAACCAAGGACATAGAATTAATGCGAAACACATAGATATTACCGATGAAATTGCGAAACTCCAAGTCAATATAAACAATATATTATTTGACAGATACTCCATTGTATGTATGTACGTACATACATATGTAACATCACGAAAGACGTTATCCAAAGAAGGATACCAAGATGAAATATGGCTTCGGAAAACACGGAATGGAAAATCGGGACGATGCGATTTTAGTGCCGTTATGCGGGAAAAGTTGGAAGTATATACCATATGATAACACATACGAAATACACATACATATTTACACGTTTTACTTTTAATACAGAAATTCCAATTGGTATAAAATTTCCATTTTGTTTGATTAAAAAAATAATTATTAAAAAATATATATATGAATGTATAGTCATAGATTATCATTTTTAACTTACCGACATCAAAAAACTTTGAAATTAAAAAAAAATGAAACGGGACTATTGTGCTTATTGTGTTTATTGTGTTTCCACGAACACTATTCTTCCGTAAAGCTGTAGATACACCAAAGTAGCGCAATCCTTTTATTTGAACCGTCAAATAATACCGACAAATTTTCTATTGGCTATTTTGACTGCCATTTTTTTATTTTTGACCTAGTGGCTGTAGTCCAATAAGCGCTTAGTATTATTAGTATATAATACAGGTTGTGTTCCAAAATTGACTGTCAGTACTAAAAATCTATAGTGCACGTAACGTAAACTGTAACATTTTCAGTGCTGGCAGTAGATTTGGAACACGGTTATAGTTACTTTAAGCCCAAAATGGAGGATTTTTGTGTTACTTTGGTATATCTAGAGTTTTAAGTCGGAAACATAATGAAATGCACAGGCTCCGACGAGATACTATAAACAATTAACGACAACAGAGAAAAATATCAGAGCACTTCTCGTCTCGATCTCAGACCTCTTTCCTCCGAGTTGATAAACTTTCGCTCTGCCACTGAGCCACACAGCTCAGTGACGTTATTGGTATTTCTGTTGTGTCTATATCTAGTAAATTTCTTACAATATTATTAAAGGCAGTCGAGCGCTTATGGAACTTTGCGTCTGTAAAATTTAAATGATTAAGGTCCGGTTGCACCAACGTTACTTTGATTTTAGCGAAACTTTAAACTCTCTTTATCTTGTTTTAAAACCGAAAAGAGATAGGAATAAAGAGCTTTAATTATGTTTTATGGAAGGAGATCCAGTTAACCTAACCTAATCTAACTTACAATTTTAACTTACTGAAAGCAGCCATATTTCTGGTTAAAAATTGACGCATGCGCACTAAAAATTGGAGACCACATAAAGAGTTCAGTGTCCATACTGTACTATGTTACTTAGGCCGGTATTCATAATCGATTCTTATTTTAAGACTGTCTTAAGTAATGTCTTAAGACGCTAATGCAGTTCTCTGATTGGTTCGTGACTTCTTAAGACCGTACTTAAGACGGTTTTGAATATAAGATCTGACTTGAATACTGGCCTTATACTGTGGTATGTGATACCGGCCCGTGAATCGTGACCGGCCATTTGAGTTAAGTCTCCTTCTTTTTATTCCGTGTTCTCTGGTTTCTCTCTGCAATTGGTAACCTTGTTTGTCACGGTTTTTTGTTCTACTACGCGGGCGACATTAAAAACTATTTTCAGAAATTAGCAGAATTTCTTTTAAATTATGTTCGAAAGTGACGATTGGATTTTTGAAGTAAGTCTTTTAGTTATACATGGTTAGAACTTATCTGGTTAATCTGTTTAATGTGCTTTCTCTTTGTTATTTTATCAACGCACAGGCAGACAGACAACCGGTAGAGTTGGAATTTGTAAAACGGCAAAATTAACACATATCTCATATTACATATGTATTATTGCAGGATACTTTCGACGATGTTGGAGGAAAGGAGGAGGAAACGAAGAAGAAATCCTATTCTCCATGTCAAAACAAAGAGAAGACACAGTTCGTCAAACGACGTAAAATGGACAGTTGTGAGGTACTGCTGGCACGTAATACTTTTAGTCAGAAATCAAAATTGGATACTATAGCAAATATTCAAGATAACGATCTACCGTCCAAGAATAAGAACGATGTATCACGTGGGGATCTGTTGTTAGAAATTTTCCAGAAAAATACTTGTCGAGAGACATTTGATCTTGCAAAAAATATAGAGGAAGATTCATCAGGAATACAAAAAGAGACGCAATGTTTTCAATCTGAAATAGGTGCAACGTCAAAAGTATTCCAACATAAAGAGTCCAGAGGGAAGAGCGACGAGTCTATGATTACTAAAGTAAGATTTGATAAAGAAATAAAATTAATTAGACTATTTCCTGGGCCAGCTGGCTTAGTATCCGATGTGAAAAATGATAACATCTCTGCTACATCTTATTTAAATAGTGTTGAAGAATTGAAAAATAAAACTTCAACCAAGCGTATTGAGATCAAATCCCAAGATGAGAGAAACTTGTGTGGAGAGAAAGCTTGGAAACTTTTGTTGAATGACTTGCCAAATAATTTTTTACAGGATTATAAGATTTCTGCTGTTAAAGACAAAGCAAATGCTAATCATTGCGATAGTACGAGAGTAAAGTTTATAGCAGGTGTATTGGATTATATAGATTATAGTTACGACGATCCATTTGTTATACTAAAAGATTCGTCGGGCAGCATAGAAGGTACTATCCATCGTGACATTCTATCAACTTATCCTGGTATATTAGAGTCAAATATAGTTATTTTTTTATGTGATGTAGGACTATTAAAAACTACGACATATGTAATAACGAACAAATATCATATTCTAGTGTCTCTAGTAAATTTACTAGCTATATATTCGGATAAAGGCCGAATTGTAAGTACACCTCTGATGGAAAGTGTAACAAGTCATACTTTAAATAGTGAATTAAATAGAATTAACAATTGCATGTCAATTTCGGAGAAATCGGATTATGTCTCTGGATTGCAAAAAATTAATGAAAGTCATAAGACTCTTTTACAAACTAGCAGTTCTGTCGACAATCGAGGATCTATCAAGGATCACGAATCTGAATTAGCAAAAAATATACTGTTACAATTGAAAAGTTCGATAAATGAAAAGTATGAAAGTTGTGGGGAAATTTTTAAGAATAAAGATAAAGATTGCGAAGTTACCAATGAAATACTTGAATATTTCGACCATTCGATGGATACGAATGATTTGGATATGGACGTTTTCTTTACTACCAACTGCAACTTTACAAGTTTGGAAGACCAGAATTGTGATCATTTGCTACCAAGTATTTCGCAAACTAGCAAAATTCAGCGGTGCAACTCGCAAGTGCAAAATATTAAGTACTTGGAAAATATGAAAAACAAATCGACGATAACTTATCTAAAGCAGACAAAAGAGCAACACTTGCCACAAACTTCAAAGAAATACATCGATGTAAAAACTTGCGACACACATTACTCGCGTGAAAATTGTGAAAATTGTTTCTCGTCTTGCAACGATGCATTATGTAGAGATTCGAATTTAAATGTAAAATTCACATTGTCAGCAATAGAACGTAACGTCGAAAACTCAAAAACTTTAAAAAGTTATTTTACTGACGATAAGTATGACGCGTATGATTCGGATGATGAGATGTTATCACAGTTGGACGTAGATAATATCATTGATAAACGAAAGGAAAATGGCTAAGAAATGTGTATCTCTCTCTCTCTCTCTCTCTCTTTCTGTTTTTATCAATATAAATTAAATGTACATACAATGCATCGAATGCGAGATCGGTTTCAGATATTCACAATAATACTACTTAATCGCTAATGACTAATGTATAAAAAAAATTAATGTTAAGCAGTACGAATTTGAAGATAAAATGAGAAGTTCGAATGAGCCGTTATTAAAATAGAATATACTATGATATGTGATATAAATGTTTGTACTCCTACTCCAGAGTTATTGCAGATAAAGCTGTTTGCGAGATCTTGCGCATTTGTGATACCTATATCTTATTGTCTCTCATTTGGGTTCATAAAACATTATCAGTTTAAAGTCCTGTCGTAAAGTTAATATAGATCTCGATAACGAAGATTCCATACAATTCGATCGGTCATGCACACACTGTAAAAGAAAAAAACGATGCCAGCAAAGCATTTGTAAAACTATGATTTTACAACGTTGTATATGTATACGCGCGAATATGATTATACGATTATACATAAAAGACGTGTATGTACGTATGTCTAATTGTATGTCTTTGTCGAAAATGGAACAAAGCCTGCGGCTGTGATTGCATAATGTACGTGGTAGACGTAATGACTAACGCGCACTACAACGTGATGCTACGACACCATCGTTTATGCCTGTTAGATTCAGAAATTGTATAATTGATTAAACGCATTCACGGATGTATTAAATAAAGAACGAGATGAAATCTCTTTGTCTTTTCCATTTTTTTCCACTTATCCTAGGGCTAGGCTATCAGCCCCACAAGAGACAGCAAGAGAGCGAGCGTAAACGTATCTATATGTATATACGCATGCACACGCTTTAATATCGCTTTAATATATATACAGTCGTTTTACAATTTGGACAAATTATGATTAATTCATAATGCTCTTCACAGGATTATCGGACGGTACGTCTCAAGGTCGATCCAATGGATACGCAATGTAGACGCATATCTGTATTATAACTGTACAATACGTTGGCTTTCGATCTCGCGGGCAAATTAGAGGAGAAATGATCGATACATCAAAGGTCACAAATTCTCTCGATAAATTTATAATAACTTATAATTAGAGCTAACACGCAGCAAATTAGGTAAATTCGTCGTCGATGCTTAAAAATGTGTAAGTGGGATATTGTTATTGGTACTTAGGGATACCTGCGTTGCAATTATAGATTACATTAATTGTTGTTTATTTCAACGAAGAAACAAAGTATATTAAAAAGCAGCGATGTATATCGAGGCATAAGCTTAGTAAAGAGAACATGTATGTTCATATACCTATATGTAAGTGAACGGATTATAATTAGTGTGAACGCGCGGTAAAATGTGGGATAAGAGACCGTGGCACGTGAGATTAAAGGTTAAAATGCAAAACTGCAATAACGATCGCTTTCGTTTATATGCATGTAAGTACCAGGATTAGTTTCGCGATCCCCTACATATATTATTTATTATTTTCATTTCTCTCTTTTCGCAACATCTTTTTTCGTAATATTATACATGTATCAACGTCAAAATTT